TTTGTGCGCAGTCACGCGACTTTTTTCCATTCTAAATTCAATTGAAGTCATATGTTTCACAACATAAAAAAGATCAATTAGTGTTTGTACTCGGTGAAATTCGAATTTCATATTTGATGATTGGTGGAATTCGAATTACTCATGAGTAAATCCGAATTTCATAAATAAAAATTTGAGTTCCGAATTTCATAAATAATAATTTGAATCTGAATTTCAAGTGAGATCTGAAAATCGAATTTCAAGTGAGATTTGAGAACCGAATTTCATCTTAGATTTGAGAACCGAATCTCATAACATTGATAATATTGTTATATTAATAATACATAATATAAATATTACATAAGATGCAGTTTAGTGGTGACGATATACATGATGAATATCCAGAACCTTTTTTAAATAGTTACGAATCTTCTACCAAAACTTCAGATAGCAATAATAATAGCACAAAAAAAAAAAGAAAAACGAAAAACAAATCTAGTTTCATTTGGAAGTATTGTACAGAAGTGGAAGATGGTTGGAAATGCAATGTTTGTAATGAGAGTTTTAATTACAAAAAAACAGGTGGCTCAACAACCAATACTTTGAAGCACCTTGAGCGAGAACATGGTTTGATAAGACCAGAAATTAGTACCAAGGTATTTTTTATAATATAAATCAATTATTGTGGATTTTGTTTAAGACACAATAAATTATTATGAATATTATGAATAATATTTTATTTAATAATCTATTTGTTTAGTTTATGCAAAACATGTCTGATGATTGTGGTGATATTTCTGTTTACAATAATCATAATGTTACTTTATCAGAAAACGATAATATTAATATTCAAAAAAAATTAGTAGAATTTATTATTGAAAATGCCCAACCATTTAACTTGGTCAATAGCACTAGTTTCAAGAAATTCATTTATTCATTAAATCCTTTATTTAAAATTCCATGTGTCAGCACTATTAAGCAAGTTATTAATATCGCATATAATGATTCACTGACAAAATTAGATATATCATTTCGTTCAGTTCAATATTTTTGTTTAACTACTGATTTCTGGACGTCATGTAATTCAAAAGGATATATGGGGATCACATGTACTTGGATTGATCAAGGGTTTAATATAAATGAAGCATTACTTAGTTTAAGTTACATACCATACCCACACACTGGACTTGTCATTAAAGATATTTTATTAAATGAGATAAATAAATGGGATTTATCAAATAAAGTAGTAGCTATCACCACTGACAATGGTACAAATATTGTAAGTTCAATTAAAAAACTTAAACAAACATTGAAATTGGACCGTATAGCATGCGCAGCACATACGTTACAATTAACAGTTAAAAAAGCATTAAATGCTAATGACAATATCAAAATATTAATACTCAGAGCAAAAAAATTAATATCGTTTTTTAGTTCACCTAAACAATTGCAGGCTTTGGAAAAAGAAGAAAAATCAATTGGTTTAACTAAAATTTTAAAACCAATATCTGACGTTTCCACAAGGTGGAACAGCACCTTTAAAGCCTGGACAAGACTACTTGAAATTAAAGCTGCAATTGTTTCATTGTGTGATAGTATGGGTGAAGATGTTGATAGAGAAGTAAGGGAAAATGGTCGTAAATTAAAGAAAATTTTATTGAAAGATAATGAATGGTTATTTCTAGAAAATTTCGTGAGAATATTGAAGGATTTTGATGACATTACAAAATTATTTAGTAGTAGAGACTTTGTTAGCCTGTCACTAGTATATCCTACAATAAGGGTTTTAATAGAAAAAGTTAAAATATTAATACAGAATATGATGATGAATATATTCCTCCAATAGATGATCATGATTTGTTGACTGAATTAGAATCATATAATGATGAACAAGGAGAGTCTCCTCTTGTGGAAGGTGAAATTGAAAATGAAGGTATTATTTTTGAAGAGGTTAATGGTGACAGGAAAAAAAGGAAATTAAATATTTCCAAACCTGTAGATACTGAAGGTTTACTTGAAAAATTGGTTGATGTCCTATACAATTCTCTACTTCATTATTGGTCAGTTCCGTCAGAAATTGGATTAATATCGTCTGTTTTGGATCCTAGATTCAAACATTTAAAATTTTTACAAGAGAATGAGAAAGATCATATTTATAATTTAATTTCAAACAAATTAAATGAAAAAAAAAATAATCATCAGTTACAAAACCAACAATCACAATCATTATACCTTCAATTATCACCAACACCACAACAACAATCTCAATCATCAACAATACAACAACAATCATTATATTCTCAATTATTATCATCACCAACACCAGAACAACAACCATTATATTTTCAACCATCATCACCAACATTGAAACAACAATCATTATATTCTCAATCATCACCACCAATGCTACAACAACAATCATTATATTCTCAATCATCACCACTAGCATTACAACAATACATAAATACATCAAATAATATTTAGGGTTTGTATTCATGAATATCATAAGGGGGTCACACAGGGTCACACACTATTAAAATCAAGTGATCAACTCATGTTTTTAAGGGATTTTTTGCTGTTTTAATAGTGTGTAACCCCCTTAATGATATTCATGATATTCATGAATAAAAACCCTAATAATATTCATTGTGCTATGGATGGACCAACAATTTTTGATTCTGTGTTTGATAATAGCCTTGATGATGATTGTCATGATGATGATGAATTAAAAAAATATTTAGAAATTCAAAGTATTCCTAGAAATATTAATCCCTTGAAATGGTGGGCTGATAGAAAAAATGAGTTTCCTTTGATGGCAGAGCTTGCATTAGAATATCTATGTGTGAGTGCGACATCTGTGCCATCAGAAAGGCTTTTTTCGGATGTTGGAAACCATATTACAAAAAAAAGAAATCGCCTGTCAACAGATAGTGTATCTAAGCTATTGTTTCTTAAAAGAAATATGTCAATTATAAATGTTTTTAATTGATTATATTTTTTTTTTCAATTGATTTTATTTTATTTTTACAAACTATATTGTAAATAGTGATTATTATAATTAACTAAATTTATTTTTGGCAAACTATATTGTATATGGTGATTATATGAATTAAATTTTTTATTTTTGGCAAACTATATTATATTGTATATGGTGATTAAATTTTTTTATTTTTGGTAAACTACATTGTAATATGGTGATTATAATAAATTAAATTTTATGATTTTAATTGTTTTATTTATACATGTGGTCAAAATTATTAAATTGCGTCAGATGCAATTAAAAATCTAGAAAATTGAACATTGCGTCACCAATCATAAATTTGACACGTTGACGCAAGACGCAACTCGTGACGCAAGATGCAACTCGTGACGCAAGATGCAACTCATGACGCAAGACGCAATTCGCGACGCAAAATGAAATTCGTCATGCAAGACACAATCCATTATCTTACGTAAAAAAAAAATACGCATTTGGAAATCTTGATTGCAAAAAATGGTTTACTGGAATTAGATTTGGAGGCTCTTTTGGCCGAATTTAACCAATTCCGAATTCTTAATTTTTATTATTATTTTACTTTATTTATTTCTATTTTTATAATCTTATTTATTAGTTTCAACTAAGAAAACTAAATAAATAAAATAAATATCTTTATTTAAAACTATTATCTTCTTTACCAAAATTATTCGCTAATAACAAAATCAATTCATTGATAACCTATTCATTCTGATCCACACAAATACAAAAATAATAGTGGATGATATTTTAAATAATGAAATTGATTAAATATAAAAATGATAGTATTTTTTTTTATCATGTTTGAAATTTTTGTGAATTGCACAAAACTTCATATAATAAAAATATTAATTTGCTTATAATTATGGATATTTTATATAATGAATATAATACATACAAAAGTTTTTCAATTAGACCATAACCTTTTAAAGTTGTGAAGTAGAAAATTGTGGATAACTCAAAAAAAAAAGTTTATACTTTAAATTAATTCCATAAAATATATAGAATTATTACAAATAAATAAATAATGTAATTTTTATCATTTTTGCAAGATTTGAAAACATCACTTTCAGATAGTTTATATCACTCACGAGTCTTGCGTCATGATTGCGTCTTGCATCACGAATTGAGTCTTGTGTCACGAATTGCATCTTGTGTCACGAATTGCGTCTGTGTCAATACGTCTCACACTAAACTAATTGCATCACACGACTTTTAATTTTGACGACATGTATAGTTTTATTATTATATATAATGGAATTCATAAATTTACTGTATGATATAGATATACTAGTGACAGGTTTACAAAGTCTTTCATAATGTCATCAAAATCCTTACAAAAATTTCTAGAATAACTATTCATTTCTTTAAATAAAATCTTCTTTGATTTACAACCATCTTTCATTGTAATTATCATTGCAATGTAGATATAGTTGCAAAAGTAGATATAGTTGCAGGTGTAGATAAAGTTATGGATTAAGGATACTGGCTGCAACTTTTGATGATGGTTGCTACCACCTTTGCATCATATAAAAATGATTGCAACCACTTGTTGCAACCACTTTTACGACCATTTTGTTTCCTTTTTTGGATTGCAACATGGAACACTATTGTGAATATAGTTTGCAGTAGTGTTCACTACAATTCTATTTGATAAATTTGATTAATTTGTCTCTTATAGTAATAGGCTTTTAATGTTGTAAAACTTTACATAGTATCTAACATGTAATTTATCAGAATTGATGCCATCAAACAACATAGTAAAAATGCAGCTTTTAAAGAGAGGAATCTTTTGATAACTAGGCCTGTATGCAGATAGTATGTAGTTGTAGGTGCAGGCATAGCTGTAGATATAGCTGTAATTCTAGATGTTGCAGGTGTAGATGATGATTGCTATAATTCTATTTGATTGACTTATCTCTTTTATTATAGAATTAATTCAATGAAATAAAAAAAATAATAGTTCATTAAAATAATCTTTCATGTAGTAATTTCTAACATATTTCAATTATTACTTCAACAATGAAGTGCAAGCATTTGTAGTAGCTGGCAAAAAGTCAAGATTCGTGTAACGTTGCAGCTGGAAATCGAATTTCAATGAATTTCAATGAATTTCAATGAATTTCAACGAATTTCAACGAAAAATCGAATTTCAAATGAGTAAGATTTATCCGAATATGGTTCGAATAAATTATATGAGTACAATCACTAAGATCAATGATCGATTTTGTCACATGTGATAAAACGAATGTCCACTATGCTCAAACATAGCGGGCTTTCCCTGTGATTGGCTTATTTCATTTTGTGTAAAATGACGATCATTACCAAAATAATTTTTTTT